TGCCAAGACAGAGAAATCAGGAGCCGTCACTGAGAAATCCGATGGTGATCATTTATCTCCTGGACAGTCAGAGTATGAATTTGAGGCGGCAACCCCTACAAGCAATGGCAGGACAGAGAAATCAGGAGCTGTCACCGAAAAATCCGATGGCGATCATTTATCTCCTGGAGAGTCAGAGTACGAATTTGAGGCGGCAACCCCTACAAGCAATGGTAAAACAGAGAAGTCAGGTGCCATTACGGATTTGGATGCGGATTCGCCGACAACTCAATGAAAGCGGGCTTCAATCATGAGAGGTTTTTTGAAATGCATGATTTGGGTTTGTCCTATTACCTGTAGCAGTCAGTAAATGGTTATAGTTATAACATATTATAGTTTTTTCCTGAACAAGGATTTTTCTAACCATCATCATCCACTGTTATAGGTAATAGGATAGACCCAATTAAGGCATGATCTAATACAGCAAAGACTTCCGGTTCCCGGACGGTGTTTTTGTGAAACCGGGCCCAAAAGCCGAATGCAGGGCCCTCATCGGGTGGATCTCTCGTGCCAGTTGATACCATGGGGAAGACAGCAAAAAGGATGCAAACAGTTTCATGACAAGCAGACGATGACATGACATAGTATTGTTTCTCTTCGGAAGGTCGTTGTAAATCTCGTTTGAATGAAGACCGGGTGCCTTGATGAGATCCGCAAATGCCTTGGACGAGCTCCGAAAGCATGGGTGGAGGTTAGAAGTGCCAGTTCGGACATCAAGATTCCATGTCCCGCAGAGGCCAGCTCCAAAGACATCCTGTTCACTTGTGGGCCGTTTTGAATTATATAGGCCCCTATTATGTCAAGCCAAGAGAAGAAACCTGACATTGATGGCTCAAGTGGCTCAAGACAGAACCCTTCATGACCCTGAAGTTTTCGTACTGAAAGAAGGTTCAAACATATGCGAGAAGTTTTGGCATTTGCTCAGGTTCACCTTCACCCATCATACAACCCGTGCAACATATTACATGTCACAGTTTTTGCAGATGGGACCATTCTGCAACGTCTCCACCCACATCGCTTTGTGGCACTCACATCCCAAGGATGTGGTACGGGGCCGAATGCCGAATTCGTAGAGTGTTCTGCTCATCGCATGTGGTGACTTCATGCCAAGAAGGCACAAAGACAACGAAGTCAGCGACAGCGTAGAGATCGTTTTGGACTCTGGAGAACGTCCTTTTTGGATTTGTAGAGATCGTCCCAGATGCCATCTATGATCATCTATGCAGATGACCAGCGGTGTTCCAGTTTCATAGCTTCTTAAAAATTGGTTGATGCACATAGCTTCTCTGTTCGGTCTTCCGCCAAGCTCCATGCGCTCCATACGGTCCATGCCATGAACCTCGCCGCCTCCACGTGGCGACGTGGCGATCCCAATGCATCGATCGGATTTCCCCAGCCGTAGCTGCGACGATCGTGTGGTTGGAAGTGGTGAGTTGCCGTTCCCACCGGTTTTTCATGTGACGTTTGACTTTTGGAAGATGAACACGTTTGCACCGTTTGCACGGGTTTTTCCAAGCAAGGCTGAGCAAGACATCACTGCTACTGCTACTGTGGCTATATCCAATTTCTGATTTATGCAGTGCACTCCTGAAAACTAACATAGACCCTGACAATGGTAACCTGAAAGATTGTTTTCCTCTACCAACCAGTGGTTTTCAGGGTCCATGTTAGTTTTCGGGAGTGTATATTTGGCGCAGCATGACGAGCGACTGTTCAGCACTGGCGCAGCATGCAGCGTCCATGTTAGACTCGCCGACTCAGCGGGCCTAGAGCTGGCCTTTTTGTGGAGTCACATTGGCAGTGAAGCAAAAAAGAGTCCATAAAAGTCCATACAAGTCCATAGGAGTCCATACAAGTCCATAGGAGTCCATACACTGCAGAAAGAGTCCATAGAAACATCATGTTTATCAAATCATCCTTGGAAAAATGGTGTGTTCACTGGGTAAATCTTGCGTCCTGTTCAGATGTTCAATGATCCATTCGTATGGGTTCCAGGTGGTTCTTGACTGAGTCAGGAACTGGGATCCAATGGGAACTGGGATCCAATGAAAGGATCACATGGCCTAGAGTACACAATATAACTGGGTGGTGGTTTCTAACGTTTTGTTAGGATCATTGATCCCGACAAATATGGGTTGAAACCACCAACCGGGAAACCAATGTGGTGGATCAAAATGAGATGAACCTTAATTTTAAGAATGTCTTTGTGGGGGATGGTACCTCTCCAAGTTTGTCATTGTGTCGCAGGTGGGAAGACCCTGCCTCACAGAGGATCTGACCCATTTTGGTGAGTGAGTATGGATTTTAATGGGAGACACACCCTGGCCCATTGGGGATTGGGTCTATTTTTGATGGTCAAATTTATTGGGATCTTTTTGGCGACACATCTCTGGCTTGAGAAGTCTTCAACTCATTATGTTTTTGAATCAGGATAGCAAGCATCCCAATTGGAATGCAGCGTCAATCTCCCGAGTCCAGATTCCTGAGCAACAAATCCAAGCATCATCTGCGCTCGTCACTGGAGCCTCTGCGTTTGTGACAGGCATGTAGTTCTTGGTGCTACATTGATTGCGACATGTCGCTGGGGAAGATAAATCACGCTGAAAGATGAAGACAACCCATGTTCTAGGGCCTTCTTTGGAGTGTCTAAGTGACCTCTTCAGGGACTAAAAGTGACCCCATTCTGAGATCTCAAAGCTCACTTTGAAGGGTCATACGCATCTATTCAGGAGACAGCGATTGTTTTTTGGGCTTTGACCAATCTTCCAACTTGACAACAAGAGAATGGGGAAGGGAACGAAATTGTACATACATATATAATGCTAGATGATGCTGTACAATACAAACCTTTGGGTTTACCTACTTACCATGGAAACTTTGCAAAGGAACTCTAACAACCGTCTCTTTGATACCATGCTGAGTGGCATTCAGTGCCATTCAGTGGTAGATGATCTAAGCCTAAGTTATAGCATGATCTAAGCGTCACCCATATTATCATTGAGGCCTACTCTTTCAGAGGCGCCTACTCTTTCGCTGGTGAAAACCCAGCAGCTACAGCTGCGTCAAAGGACGCGTTTTCTGCTACACACGCCCAGCTGCTTCCTGAGATTGGCTCACAAGTGACCAACGGGAGAAGCTGCGACCACCGAGACGCGCCATCCGTTGCGACCACCGAGACGCGCCAGCGTGCCGTACCGGTCGTCCGGGAAGTCCATTCGGTCCGGTCCGGTCCGGTCCGTCGGATCGGTCGTCGGTCCGGTTCGTCTGGGACTTGCTTCGTCGGTTCGTCGAGGAAAGACGGTGGTCAGTATTGGTCATATGTGTTTTCGGAGGTGGATCCGGTGCGAAATCGCATGGGCACAGTCAGGCCCTTGGGGGGGGGGGGGTTATATATATAAGCCACCCAAACTGGGTGGTGCTGGGGTGTGTGGATTTTGACCTTTTGGATGCAGATGATCTCCACAAGGCCAGACAGACCCAGAGGGTTTGACAGACCCAGAGGAATGGATGCTTGTGTTTGGGTGTTCCGGTGTAGTGATTCACTTGCAAGGTGATGTTCTTGGTGACAACCATTTGTGCAGGACTGTCGCAAGACTCAAGTGAAGTAGCTTGTTATTTGGGTCCAACCCCCCATCTGGTTGATGAAGTTGAGGGAGGACATGCAATTCACTTTGAATCAGGTACATGAGACGGTACCTGAGACGCAGGGTTTTGCTTCTCCCTCGTTTTAACATCAGGAACAAGTCCATGAAGGTCTGAAAACTGAGGAACATCAGATCCTCCCAGTGGGTGATGCACTATGATATACCCACCAACAGACCCCGAAGAGACGGAGACAGCACTGCAGCTTGGGACGGCAGAGACGGGTCTCCAGGCCGCGACCACGGTGAACGACACCGAAGCCTTCAAGAAAGAGCTCGAGTGCGCCACGGAAGTGGGTCGAACGAAGTGGAGTTCAGCTGCAACACGGACAAGAACAACACCGCCCTGATGTTTTCAAGACATTTCAACACCACCCTGCGCTGTGGCACTAGAACTGGTGATGACTGTGGGACCCCACTCCAACTCAGTTTCAAGTTTCCCTGACCTACGAAACGGAGTCGTTCAATGAAAGGACCCTGAGCTGTGGGAACTCCCAAAAATGGAGCCATGCCATCAAATCCATCATATGTCTTACACGCCCTCAAATCCATCATGCTTTGTTGTGGAGTGAAAACCACCACCTGCTTGCTATCCAGAAAGTTAAGTTTTTTGCAGCCATGCCATCCACGCAACCACGATCATTTCAAGGAGTGTAGCTATTCAGCCAGTGTAGCAGAAGACTTCTTTCACTTCGTCTTTCGGAGCTCCCAGGGGTTCGCTCACCCCCGCGTGTTCCACGCGCCCGAGACCCGAGGACGTCAAGTCCTCGCGGACGTCGCGCAGGTACATCAAGCGAGAGGATGTCTTAGATGAAGCTGGCAGGTGCGGGAACGAGAAACAATTGAAGTTTTGCGGCGGCAGAGGTGCATGTGGAAGCTCCCAAAACTGCAGACATCAGAAAATGTTAGAGATGAAGAAAAGAAACAGTTCTTCAACGAATTCATTCGTGCGGGTTGGTCAGTTTGATAGCATGACTATGACCCTATCTTTTAGGGTTTGCAATCTTACTGTCAACTGCTAACCAGCCAGTTT